ACAAGCACCTCCTGCCCCTGCGGGAGGGACCCCAGGAACCTTCAAGCAAACCAAAGCGCAGCGAGCCCGGACTATGGCTCTGTACAACCCCATCCCTGTCCGGCAGAACTGCTTCACCGTCAACAGATCGCTCTTCCTCTTTGGGGAAGAGAACATAGTCAGGAAATATGCCAAGAAGCTCATCGACTGGCCATATCCTTTCTGTGTCCCCTGTGAACCCCCACCTTGCTCCCTGGATTTGCCTCGGTGGCCGCCCAGGACACGTGCGTGTGGCACTAGCTAGCAGGTAAGCGCCTGACTTCTGCTCTCCTCTCCTTTGGCATGCTGAGAGGGGTGCCCCGTCCCCCAGGGATGCTCTCCTCACCCTGTTGCTGCTTCCCCTCCTGTCGTCTGCTTGGTGCCTGTTGGGGAGCTAAGCCACTTCTCTCTGCGGGGAGCTCCCCAACCCCTCCTCAGCCTTGGATTTGGAAGCCCCCCCACACCCCCCCTCGTGCTTGCAAGGAGGGATGCTCTGGTCCTGGTTTAACCCTGCATGCTTTGTGCATGTGTGGCTGGGGGTGGGGGGGATTGTGGCCTTTCCTCTGTCCTTGATGTCTTGCTGGAGTTTTGTCACCCCACCCGGAGCCACCCATCCCGTTGGGAACAGACCCCTGGGAGCTCACGAGTCTCCCGTCCCTGCTGGGTGGCAGCTTTGTCCCTCCTGCGTGTGCCTGCGTGCGCCCTCTTTGCTGCTGATCACTCCTGGCAGGGGCACAGCCATCCTTCACCTGCAGCCCCTGGCCCCCACCACCGCTCTGGGGCCAGTGGCCCAGCCATCCTTGCCCTGCAGCCCCTGGCCCCCACCACGGCTCTGGGAGCTGGCTGCCCCCTCCCTGCGGCAGAGGGGAAGACGCTGAAGGCCTCTGGCTGTGCCATGTGGGCCCTTTACGGGGCTGGCACTGGGGACTGGACTTTATTCCAGGGACCTCCCAATCCTAGGGCTGGATGGAGGGTGCAGATCCTTGTGCTCCTTCCCTTGTTCTTCTCTCCTTTCATACACTCCCATGTTCTTCTCTCCCTTCCTACCCTCCCTGTGAGTGCCCTGGCTGGTGCCCAGCACCGCAGCACGCAGCTCCCTATCAGCCTGGGCTCAGCACCTTGCTGCCTCCTGAGACCCTTCCTGGGCTTTGCACCCCCACCAAGAAGCTGAGCCTGAGAACTTGAGCATGGCCACGCTTCGGCTTTAGGACCCTCCCTGTGCCGTTTTCTGCAGTGGTGATTGCGTGCGGCTCTCACTGCTGCTGCTTTCTCTCCCTGCAACTTGTTGGTTGAGTTGCTGGCTCCTCCAGCAGGCGTGGGAGAGCTTGACCTGGTGCCGTCTGGTAGTGCCATGGTCTGCTGCAACAGGTACCTTGGGAAAATGCTCCAGTGTGGCACGGGGATGCAGGATGGGTGGCTCACCCTGCTAAGCATCCCTGGGGAAACACTCCCTTTGCAGCCCCGACACAGCAGGTCGAGCCTCTGCCAGGCAGGAGCTGCGGAGCCACCAAGCCCCCAGGTTGCAGGAGGTGACTTGAGGGTGAAGGGGCAGCTCGAGGCGGCTTAATTCCCCGCGGCACCCCTAAATCTGGGCCTGCTGGCAGCACCCACTGGGTGGGTGGCTGCAGGAGCATTGGCGTGGCAGCAAGGACGGGAGCATGGCAGCTCGGCTCGGAGCCCTGCAGGGCAGCGGCCAGGCCGGCCTGCCTGCTGTTCCAGAAGATGCCAAATTGTTCATGTGCTTTTTCAGCGCTGTGTGGGAGGGGCCTCGCCCCTTTGGTTTTCATTTAAAGCAAGAAGGAGCTGGGGTGCTGCCGCTGGCCTGGCACTCCCCGTGTGGGCTGGGGTCCCGTGCCGGCGTGATGTCTCATCTCCAGGCAGCCGCTGTCTCCTAGAGACTAGAGCTTCACCACCACGCGGCAAAAACTCCCCAGCATTATTCTCTGCTGGAATTTGCAGTGCATGAGGGAGATGGGCTCATTTTTATTTTTATTTTTTCCTAGAAATAAGTGACATATCCCCGTGTGAGTGTTGGGAGCGTGTGTACTACAGGCACGGGACCCGAGTGTCCCTGGCTGTCCCCTGCCTGGCTGCCATCTCTTTCTAAGAAACTCATCCACCCAGCAGGTCCTCTGCAGCACTTGAGCTCTTGAGGGCGTGTGGATGGACAAGGGTTTTTGGTGATGTTGGCCAGGCATGTTGTTCCCATCCTTGTATACATAGCCTGGCACTTGCAGCTGGTGCCTCTCAGTAGTGCCAGAGAAAACCTGTGAGCATTTTGGTTGCCTGGCCTGGAGCCCATGGCATTGCTCTTGGGTGAGGGCAGTTTGGGGATGTAAATGTTGGATTTTGGCCACAGTCAGTGAGAGCTGCTGGCCTTGGGAGGGAGGTGGCTAGTCCTGGTGCTGTGGGTCTGAATGGGCAGGGCACCAAAGAAAGCCAAGAGGGCTGGGGTGGAATGCAGGGAGGAGTGGAGGTTCTTCTTCATCCAGCTCCAGTTGACTAGGTAATAGGGCTAAAAATAACTGGTGATTCAGGCCTGTATATCTGCTGGGTAACTGTATAATTATAACCAGCAGCCTCTGCAGTTTGGCTTCCCGGTGTAAATAGGGATGATGCATGGAAGTGAAGGAGAAATACAAGAAACGGGGATTGGGATGCAGCTCCGTGGGGAGTCAAGTCTTTGCTGAGTTCCTCACTGGAAAGCTCAGTGTGTTACCTCCACTGGAGGTGGTCGTCTTACTGGTCCTGCCTAAAACGTGAGGAAACTGCTGTTTTGGCTGTAGGAACATCTACTCCTCTTCTTCTTCAGAAAGAGCTTTGTCCTGCCTGTTCTCCTGCTGATGGCCAGGCCTTCAGCCCTGATTTCATTTGTTTAGCTGCAATTCAGTTAGCACACGAGATGGACTGTAACTCATCTCTATCTGCTCCGTTCTTCATCTGCTTAATCACATTTGACCTGGATAAGATCCCTCTCCCTCCCAGATGACATTGCGTGGCTCTGGCGTTGTCCCCAAGGACAGCTTCTGGCTGCAGATGCACACCAGCCACCGTACCTGTCCCTTTGGTTTGGCAGGGGAGAGGGTTGTCCATCGTTTCTCTGGGGACCTTGCTGTTCTCTGCAGCGAGGGCTTTCTACTACCTCAGCCCCTCTGGGGAGCAAATCTGGCACTGAGCTGGCCAGGAGCAGTTGGGGTGTCTGCAAAGCCCCAGTGCACACCCCTGGTCCAACACACGTGGGGATTTTGCTCCGTGGGATGCACACTCCAGTGTGCCTGAACCGTTTTGCTCATGATGACTCCCACTTTGAGCTGTGCATCTCTGATGCTACGCGGGCACTGCTTCTTGGGGACCCTGCCAGTGTTATGCCCCACCTAAATGAGCATCTTCTGCACCTTTTGCTTTTGCCCAGCCAAGATTGCAGCAGGTCTTTGCTCCCTGTGGGAAGAGCTGTGCCATGTCACACCATCCTTGGGCAGCTCCCTCCTTGTGCTGCTAAAGAACATTTCTTTTTCCTCCAAGGCTGTTTTCTGTGCCCTCCATTCATCAAATTTTAAAATGCCTTTTTTTTTTTTTTTTTTTTTGTTGGGAGGGGCGAGTAGGTGTAATGGCAGGTCCATCTTTTTGACAGCCAGGGAGAGCAAGGTTGCCTGTCAGATGGTGAATTTAAACAGAGGCAGCTGTTGTCATGGTGACGCCAAGTTGCATCCTGTTGCTGTGGCAACCAAAGTTAAAAAACTGATGTTAAGGCAGGAAAATCACATGATGTAGTTCTTTTTTGTTTAAAAAAAAAAAAGGATGGGAGGAGAAAGATTTGATTTCTAGTTTTTAAGTGCAGGGTGAGGTGGGGGAGAAGGAGATGCTTCTCCACGGAGCTGCTCGCACGTGGCAGGCAGCGCCCGCGTCCCTGCGGAGCGGCAGCAGTGCGGGCAGCTCCGCCTCGACCAGCTCCTGGCTGGCACTGCCTTCGGCTTAGCCCCTGATGGAGACCAGGCTACCACATTCTAGAGTCGTAAGCAGCAACGTCTACGGCTGCAGAGAGCGAGCAGAGTCTCCCCAGTGGAGGCGTGTTCGTGCAGCGAGATTTCGGCAGGCTGAGCACCTTGCCTGGGTGCTCCCTGCGAGCTGCGCAGAGACACGAGCACAGCCCCGAGCCCACGCTTGCTATCCCGAGCCTCTTTCGCTGTGCGTAATGGGCATGGAGGAGCTGGCTTGTGTTCAAAGTGTGCTGGGAGAATTTAACATCTGTTAGCACCTTGTCCCTCTGGACATCACTTTCTATCTGCCCCAGCAAAGTGGGCTGGGTGCAGAGAAGGGGATAGCCTCAAGGGGCCATGGCTTTGTGGCTGCTCGAGGCCACTGGATAGCCTCATCTTCTGAGGGAAGATCCCCTGCGTCCTCAGGGACAAGTCAAGGAGGTGCTGTAGGGCTGGAGCACCCCAGAGTTGAGTTAGGACCACTCACGGTCTTTGCTTCATTTGACGTTTTGTGTTTCTCTTGGAAATTGCCTTGGAGATGAGGTGCTTGCTTTTCTGATGAAGTATGGAGCTGAGAGGAAGAGGCGTCATGGCAGCCTAGGGATGGGGGTGTTGGAGAAGTGGGTCTTCCCACCATGCCACATCTGTGCAGGGCGGGCAGCAGTGGTGGGGCTGGGACCAGCAAGATGAAGTCCACAGATGTAGGAACTGAAGCTCCCTCTCGTTGTCATCTGCGGAGCAGGGAAAGCCCCTTAGAGCAGCAGGTCCTGGGAGAAGCCTGGGGAGTGGTAGGAAATGGAGATTTAAGTTTCTAGGAGATATTGGAGCGTGTCTGGGTGATGCAGGCAGGATGAGGTGTTAAATAGTTCCTGTCCTTCTCACTGGTCCTCTGAAATAGGCTTCCTCAAGAACCCTTTTGGAGATGCTTGCATGGCCATGCTTCTTTGGCTCTTCATGAATCACTTGGGTCTGGGTGGGGTCCACGTGGCCTGGGGGCCATCTTCCCAACCTCAAACACACCGGGAGGGAAGCGTGGAGCTGCAGGTGTAGTGTGCACTGGGATTGGCCGAGTTGCTAAGGAAACAAGTCAACGGTGCAGGGGAGAGAGCGTTGGGTAAAGGAGAGATAAATCAATAAGAAAACCTATTTTTATCGGCTCCCTAATGATCCTCCAGGAGAAGTCAGATGAAGGAAGAGGAGAAGGCTGGAGGGCTTTCATTACTGGGCTTGGAGGGAGGCAACTGCTACTCTGCGTTTTGGGTGGCTAGAAGGTTGTGTAATTATACATCTAATGAGGGAGGAAGCAAAGGAGTGGTAGAGCATTGTCCGGTGGGCTCCAGTCCTGAGCTGGGAGGATGTTTGCTTCGTGGAAGTGAAGTGTGTGGATACAATTTCCCCTGGTTCAGCCAGACGTTCTTGCTGTCCCTTGGGGAGGATATATTTACCTTTGGCCTCCCAAAACCTGGCACAGCTGGAGCTACGGTGGCTTGTTTCGTCAGGGCTGATGCCTTGCAGCTCTTGCCTACCTCTGGATGTGATAACCCAGGCTAAAGTCCTCAGAAAACTGGGCCAGTAGGTTTTGGAGAATCAGTTTTGGCAGTGACCTCATGCTTAGGTTGCTGCTTAGGGTAGTGATTGCCCTCTTAGACTTGATATCAGCTGCCCCACATGCCACGACTTGCTGGAGGTGGAGCAGTGACGTGATCTCATGCTGAGGCTGTGACAGATTTGCACTGTCCTCATGCTGCCAAGCCAGATGTTGGAGTCAGCAAGGAAATACAGGGGCAAGCTGAGCTGTTAGAGGAGGTCCTGAGCCCCTCAGCTGCTGCCGGGCAGGGCTCCTACTCTGCTGTCTTTGGAGAAGTTGGTTTTTTCCCACACAGGTGTTTCTCCTGTGGGACTAAAAGCCACGAGGAGGAAGAGGTGGATGCCTGGTGCAGCGGGGAGGACCCGTGGGGTGCTCGGCAGGGTTAGTGGCGCTGGGGCGGACAGACGGACGCGCCGTGCCGATTCCCCACTTCTCATCTAGGCAAATGTGCCTAGCGCCTGGGGACCTGCCTGCGCCGCCCCGCTAACACGCTGCTTTCTTTTAAGCCTGTGCTAATTGCTTGCAGACTTGCAGGAAAATGAAACAAAAAGACCCCAAATAGGCCGGTGGCATGGGGCCAAGCACCGCAGTCTGTGTATCAGCTGAAATACGCGGCCAGGGATGGGAAGCAGGGAAAGTACGTGGCCTTCACAGGAGCCATGCAATGAAATCCTCACTTGCATTAAGCCTCCGAGGAAAACTTTTGGGGTCTGGCTTCCCCCCAAGCACAGGGAGCTGCTCCTGATTCGTGCCTGGCTGGCACTGAGGTCTGAGCCCGCAGCAGTGAGCTCTGCAGCGGTGTCTCGTTTGGTTTGCCTTTAATTTAGCAACCATTAATTTCCCTGAGTGGCCTTTTAAATGCCTTGGCTGAATCTTTCTTGGCTCTTCTTCCTACTGGGTTAAACACATCCTGGTTCCTGCAGGCTCTCCTTGGCTGCCCATCCTGGTCAGCTCTCCAGGGACCTGCTCCGATGTCAGCCTAACTCCCACCTTTCCCATGTGCCACAGCATGCCTGGGGTCACTGCTGCCAGGATTGCAGCTGCTGGAGTCACTTCATTGTTCCCACTTTCCCATGCTTGTGGCCAGCACTGGGATGTCTTCTCTTGCCTGTGGCCTCAGGGCCACTGGTTTAAAGCATCTCACTGTAGTCAGTGGCTTCAGTGGCCAAAAGGCAAGGTTGCAAAAGAAAAAAGCAACCTTTTCCCCAGGGGTGATGGCATGGGCATTTGGCACCTCCCAGTTTCAGTGCTGGAAACCTGAAGCTGCTGGGTCTGGAGAAGCCCAGGACAATGGGGAAGGGCTCAGCATGGGCGCTGGCACTGGCTGGTATGGGCATCCCCATACCAGCTGAGGATGGTGGGAGGGTGGATAGTTACGCTTTCTTCCTGGGCAAATCCATCCCAGGTAGGATCACATCCTCTTTCTACAGGCACAAGCCCTGGGAAGGAGGCAGTCCATTCCCGGGGTGGCTGCTGATGCCAGTGGTGACAGCAATACAGCTGTGGGGTTTTGGCTTCAGGCAGTGGAGAAAGGGTGTGCAGCCTGCTGATGAATCTCGCCTCATTTCGCCTTATTGAGGACAAGAGGCCGTTATTGCAAAGATGTGGTAAAAACAGACGGGAAGTCGGAAAGATGTGGCTATCCTGTCATTTGGAAGGGCTTTGCTTTGGGGGCTTGGTGGTGGGCCAAGCAGGAGGAGGGAGCTCCATGCTCCTGTGAATCAACAGGCAGGAGGGAGTGGAATTTGGGGTACTTTCCAGGGCACTAGCCTGCCCTCACTTCTGCCTTCCCTTCCTAGTCGCTCGTGTCCTTCGATGCCAGCATCTCCTGCCACTTGTCCTGGTGTGGGGTTGCTCCTGGAGTAAGGGTATGTAAGCCCTACCAGGGCTGTAGGATTTAGGATGTTCCTAAGAGCCCAGCCAGATCCTGTTGATAAGGTACCTGCTACCCCTCGGATTCTCAGTTCTCACTGAAGTGTGGCTGAGCTGAGATGCCTCTATAGGGAGTTTCCACCCTGCCTGAACTGAAGCTCAGTATGGTGCAAGCACCCACAGGGTGCTTGGCAAGGGACTTTGGTCACATCTACCTTGCCAACACAAGGTATAGGGTGGGATTGATTCTATGATTCTAAGAAGTTCTTCACCATGAGAGTGGTGAGACCCTGGAATGGGTTGCCCAGGGAGGTGGTTGAGGCCCCATCCCTGGGGGTCTTTAAGGCCAGGCTGGATGAGGCTCTGGGCAGCCTGATCTAGTGGGAGATGTCCCTGCTCATGGCAGAGGGGTTGGAACTGGGTGATCCTTGTGGTCCCTTCCAACCCTGCCAGATTCTGATCTGTTTTAGCAGAGGATTTTAGAGCCCTAATGGTTTAATGGCTGGACTTGATGATCTTAAAGGTCTCTTCCAACCTAAAGGATTCTATGATTCTATGATTCTCCAGGTTGGATTTCCAGGACCTGCTAGGGATGCCCAGTCCTCCTTGGACTGTGCAGATGGTCCCTCTCACAGGGATGCTTTAGGACCAGGGCTGCTGATAAACAGTCACACCTCCTCCTCCAAGCCCCATGTCCTGCTGCTTTGTGATAGAAGAGAGGTCAAGCAACAGGGCCATGGCATGCAGAGATGTGCCAGCCCTGTCTACCAACATGCCATGCCAGGGAAAGTCTCCTTGACACTGCCAGGGGCCATGCCTAATCAGTTTCAGATGAAGCCCAGTCTAGCTGTCCCCATCTTTGTACTTCTGGACCCCCACCACAAGCAGCATCTTTCCCAGGAGAGTTCACAGCCCAGCAAAAGCCGTTAGTTATTGTCCCATGAATTTGGGAAGGAGGCTTAGCAGGTCTCGGGTGAGGAAGGTCTTGGGGGTTTTCAGTTCTCTTGTCATGCCTCTCGATTCCAAAGAGCACCAAGGTGGGCTTCACCTCCTGTCTGGGAGCAGCGGGAGGTGAAAGCTGTGATGCGTGTGTGTGCGTTCCTGTGGTGAAAGTGGTGGTGGTGGCTAACAAGTGGGAGAAATGAAGAGTGGGCAGGTGGGTTGGTGGATCGGGGACAACATCCGCTTCTTCTTTGCTCCTTAACTCCCCTCCACTCCCTTTGAGTACATGATCCTGGCAACCATCATTGCTAACTGCATCGTGCTGGCTCTCGAGCAGCACCTACCTGAGGATGACAAGACGCCCATGTCACGGAGATTAGTAAGTACCCCGCATCTGCCCCTCTTTGCTCTGCATTGGGGTCTCTGGTGGGTGAGCAGGGGCATCAGCCAAGGGGAACCATACCATCCTACTAGCCAATTTTTTTCTAATTTTAGGGAGTGGGGCAGGAGGCCTCCTGTGGGAGCAGCTCCTCCAGCCTTTCTGGGGCAGCTGTCACGTCCCCCTTCTCCACAGAAGGGATTCAGGAAGGTTTAAGCCCCCTAAAAAGTGGGATTGGGAGGTGGGGGGGTATGGGCAACATGAGGGGCTCACAGCCACTCTCTTCTTGTTTCCAAGGTTGATGCTGGCTGCGGAAGGGCTGGGGAATCTCTGAAAGGAGAGGATAGTGGAAGGTGGAATGAGTTAGGTCAATGTGAAATGGCTGGAGCTGTGTTTGCCCAGTCTTCCCTCTCACTGTGTCACTGGTTCCCTCCTGGCAGGAGAAGACGGAGCCCTATTTCATTGGGATTTTCTGCTTTGAGGCTGGGATTAAGATCGTGGCCCTGGGGTTCGTTTTTCACAAGGGCTCGTACCTGCGCAATGGCTGGAACGTCATGGACTTCATCGTGGTCCTTAGCGGGTGAGTTGGGCAGCACTGGGCTGTTGGGGGTCTCGGGTAGCTGGGTGGGGGGCTGTGTCCCAGTGGGGACGAGAGCTCCAGAACATGGCGCAAGGCCCTGGTTTGCTGTTGGTGGTGATGTTCCTTCATCCCAGAGAAGGAGGGGGAGGATGGTTTCCTGTGCTGGAGGTTCCTGTGCTGGCTTTGCTGTGGGTAGCCAATGGTGGGACGAGGCTCACAATTGGGTGAGGAGAGCTGGCTCTGAGGGCATCCTGTCCAGCTTTTCTCAGCTGGTGGTATGGTATCTGTCCCCCATGCAGACATTGGGCAAGGTGAGGATGAGGTAGGAACATGGTCTGATATGCAACTGAACGTGGTCTGGGAGAGGTTTTACTCAAACCGTACACGAGGAGGGAGAAAAATCTCCTTTTGCCTTCCCAAGCACTTTCGAGCTTTGGCCTGGTGCTGGGTGTTTGGGAATGAGGTCTGGGAATGAGGTCTGTATGGGGTCATGTTCCCAGGTGATGCTCTCTGTGTCCCAGCACAAAGCAGTGATGCAGGGGGTGGTAGCACACAGAGCTTCACGGGTGCTGGTTGTGTCACTGGTGGTGTCACCTGCCAGGGATGTGGCCCAGATTTGAGTCCTGCTTGTGATGTGATGGGCTGAGCTAGTGACAAAGAAATGAGCAGGACCATTTGGGCTTGTGTTATCCATCACTGGCAGCTGGCTTGAGCAGAAGTGCCCCAGGGGGACCCCCTGGGCCCCTTGCTGTGTGGAGGGCAGGAGAGCTGCCTGCAGCCACCAAGGGGAAGGGGTGCCTGGATGGATCGTGGGCGTTACTTTTTGTGTGCTGATGGAAACATTGCGTTCAGAGGAGCTGGTTTGATGCATACAAACAGATGGTGCGTGTGGATCTCTGAGCATTTCATGAGCTTTGCTGGGTGTAGAGCAGCTGCAGGGCTGGCTGGGAAACTGAGGCATGGAAGTCAGGCAAGATATCTGGGGTCTTTCTTGTGGTGCTCCACAGTCCTGCCTCTTGGCTTGCAACCTTCTCCTGGATGGTGGCACCACGTGGGACATAACACTCATTTGGGTGTTTGGAGGAGGAAGAGAGATGCCTGCTGCTCCTAGGGACATGGCAACGGGCGCTGCTTGTCTGTGGTGGGAAGGTGCAGGTTGGGACTGTGCTTGAGAGAAGGCTTGAGGAGAACGTGACTGGGAACATTTTGACTCCCTTGGTCCAATGTGGACCTGGGTGGCCTTGCTGGGGAGTTGGATCCTGCCTGCCTGTGAAGGCAGGGTGTCTCGGTGTGCTGCTGGGGGGGTGATGCTTCTCAGTGGGCAGCGAACAGGCTGCCTGTGGGCAGTGCTGCCATCCCACAGGGTGCTGCTGGCTCTTCTGCATCTACAGACTGCCTCTTAGGGAAGGGCTTTGTGGCCAGGTGGGCTTGGTGTTGAAGGGAGAGTGGTCAGTCCTGGCTCCTGGGCTGGGTGAAGGTGGTCACATCACTGAGGAGAGCACGGGGCACGTCACCCTGGTAGCAAGAAGAGGGCACGTCTCAGCCTCAGCGTGCGGCTGTGGGGCAGGGCTGGGTGTGCAGAAAGCAGCCAGGGGCTGGGCAATGCCCACCAGCTGTCCTCTGGCCTGGGCATCCTTTGGGGCTGGGGCCAAGGGGAGGCACTGGGCTGGGAGGGGCGGTTCACCGGGGGCCTCTCCCCGCTCGCCCTGGCGAGCCGACTGTAACCGAGTGGGTGCTGAGTCAGCGCTCGGCAATTACTCACTCGCGAAAGCCTCGCCAGCTCCTTCCAGTGCCGTGCCAGGCTCCCTGCCAGGGAATCAGTTGTCCACGAAGGACTGTTAGTGCCGTGCCGGCTGCCCTGCCTGGAGGTGCCCAGGTCCCCCTGACACCTCTGGTTATAGAGCACAGCTCTCCGGAGTCTGCATCCTGATGTTTTCTCCAACAGGATGAAACCCTCGCCAAGAAATGCTGTTACCCATCAGCTTTGCCCCAGCTGTACCGGTACCTGCTGGCGTGGGCACACTGGGCTTTCGGGGCAAATTGTCTTGTATGATGGGCAGAGGAGGCAACTGGCAGATTTTCCTCCTGGACCTGTTCTGGGGAGAACTGGGTCACTAGGGGATGAGCAGGACCAGGTCACGGGTTTCTCTGTGCTGCTCAGCTCTTGCTATTGCTCTGCGGTGCTGACGAAGCTGCTGTTTTTCAGTGCCATGGTTGCACCTCCCATGCAAGAAACTCTTGCCTGTTTGATCTGCTGAATTATTGGCAAATTTCTTCTGCAAATAATCCTCGGCTGGCAAATGACTTGCAAACAGCTTGTGGGAGAGGGTTTGCGCTTGGCAGTTCACGCTGTGTCGGTTGCGTAAGGCGGGCGGTGAAGTCTGCACGGGGGACGTGTGCGACCAGCGGGTTCAGCATCGTCTCTGCAGACTAAAACTTTACACTTGATTCATGTGCAAGTGTCTGGACAGAGACTATTGAGCTTGGGAGAATTAATGGTCGTTAGGATCTTCTTGCTGTTTAGCAAGAGGCAGTGGCTGTGGTGGAAGGGATGTGGTGGGTGTGACAGAGGCTGTGGTTGGAAGGGAGCATCAGAGGTGTAGGGTAGCACTCACCTCAGGTTGTCATGACCGGTGTGAGACCCTGATGCATCCCATAATGAGGATACCCATGTGAGCAGGACCTACACCCAGGATCCATCCCCCATGGATGCAGAGGGACCCAGCACTGTGCTTGCTGGCCTTTGTCCCTCCAAATGTGACACAGGGTATTATTCTTCCTTTCTGGACTTTTTTTGCTATGCTTCTGATGGGAGAGGTGGTGTCATGGCCCTAGACACTGCATGGGGGTTTCCATGAGCAGCAGGATTTCCTGGGCACGCTCTCCTTGCTGCAAGTTAACTTAATGAGGGGCTACCACAGTGAGCACCCTCCTGGGACCTTGTGCAGGAATGACTGACACTTGGGTTCAAATGGTGTTTGGTTCCTGTGTCAATAAATCCAGATTTTTCATCCTGGTGGAAGTCAATGCCCACTTAAAACTCCTTGATACTAAAGCTTCCACCAGGGTACTAATGGTCACATTTGTAAACCTGTTCTGCTTATAACCTGTGGTTTCTAAATCACCATCACTGCTTGAAAAAAACAGCCTGTTCTCCCCTAGCTAAAAATACTTTTATCCCAAAACATGTAAAAAATACATTCACTTGTTCTGGGGCAGAGCCAGGGAGGGGAACTTCTGTGTTTCCCCTGGGGCTGAGGGATGCTCGCCTTGCCTGTGCATGAACCAGAGTGGGACAGCGCTGAAGTTGGACTTGTGACCTTCTCAGTGCAGTGTGGCCTGAACCAAAAAAGAGGAAAACTGGTGCAAAATGGTCAAAAAGGGCAGTGGGAGCTTGGTGACCTCTTCATTGGTGGTCTTGAGAGCGTGAAGTTGAAGGATCTTCAGCCATCAGCAACTGGAGCATCATCTCCCTGCTCCCCAGGTGTCCTTAGTATAATAGATAGAGGTTGAGGATCCTAAGCAAGACCACCTTGACCTACACCATATTTGAAGGAGTTTATGAAGGAAAAAAGGGTTAAACTCCCTCTGCAAACATCCAGGTGGGTGTGCTTCACACACTCCAATGCCTGAGCATCATAGCACTGCGCTGTTTTTTTTTTATAGCAGTTGCAACAGTAATACAATAACATGTTACGTGAGAGGTGAAGGGGTGGGAGAACACTTCTAACAGCAGGGAAAAAATGGAAATCAAAAGGCCCTTGTAAAGTTGTGCTGCTCAGGAGCTGGGGAAGCAGCTGCTGTAAAACCAGGATAAATACACTGGGGTCATTAAAAGGAAGAGCTGGTGTCAGAGTTTTTTGGCAGCTTTAAAAACAGCCGCTACACCTGGATGCCTTTTGTGAAGCCCTTGGGCACTGTGGTTTTCATTAAGGGATTTTGTGGGGTGGAGTGTGGCCAAGGGAAGGCAGGAATGAGTGATGAATGGTGGTGCCTGCCACCATGCCCTTAGCAAGCCAACCAGACAGGCACCAGCCCATGCCAGCAGAGGAAAGCCCAGCTCTCCCAGCCTGGACAGCTGGCCCCAAAATCAAAATCCTCTCCCAGCAAAGCGGGGCAGCAGTTGTGAGCCAGGCCTCTCCCTCTGACCTTGCAGTGAAATCCTGTGCCCACCCATGCCCTGATTTTCGGCCATGGCTGGGGTGAAGCAGGAGAGAGAGGTTGCCAGGAGGCTGCTTCCCTCTGTGCTGTGGGGTTGCAATATGAGCATGGGGACAAGGTGGGCAGGTTGATACTCGTTGTGGTGCTGCCTGGATTTTGGGATGACCATCCTGGAAAGTTCCTGGGGCCCTTTTTTTTGCAATTCCCCTAGACTCCCCCATGGCAGAGATAAGGATGCTTTGTCCTCTGATATTTAGCGCACCTTGCTCAACTCGAGTTCTGCATGTCTTAGGTGGTCTGTTTGGTTTCAGAAGTCCAGAAATGGAGAGAAGGTCCTTGAACAGGCACAGGCAGCAGCAGCTCTGTGGGGCAATATCCATATGCTGCATCCTGCATGCCTGGCACCCCGTGTGTGTGTGAGCACACACGTGTGCACGTGCACACCCAGGCTGGGAGCAGGCTCCAGGCCCAGCGCTGACACCTGCTTGTTCTGAACTGAGGAAGGACAGCACACCTCCAGGCAAGGAGTCTTGGGGGAGTGGATACAAGGCTTAGAGAACAAGCATTAAATCTAAGAACAAGTGCAGCACCTCAACAGGATTGTTCTGCTGGAGCCTGCACCACTGCGAGGAGTGTTGCCCTGTAGGATAAACCAGTAAAGAGACAAGCCTGAGTCCAAAAGAGCACTGCTTTAATCATACCAGACAAGACTTTTTAAACTCTTCCTTTCTTTTCCTTTCATGAATGGTGCTGATCTCCAACCTGATGTCTGCCCCCATCTCCCACCCCTTTCCCATTTCTTTTCTTCCTGGACAATCAGTAAAGTGTTTGGTCTTTCG